TAATCTGACGATTACCTGGAGGGGTTTTCTTAATCTGACGTTTTAAAAAAAAATATTTCGTTTCTGAGATGCATAGTCAACCAAACATATATAATTGTAAACACTTATTATTTTATCCGTGCAACTATCATCATACAGCAAGTCCGCTTCGACTTGGTCGTCAATTTCTTCTAAATTTTTCTATCTATAAGAAGAAGTAATTGACAATATTTTTTTTACATGACAGCTAATGCGCGCTTGCTTCGCGGCGCCTTATAAGATCTTTTGCGTTGACCAATACAAAAATAGCGTTTAAAAGAAAAAGCGGTCTGTAAAGTAAACGTTTTTAGTTCAAATTGAAACGACTAAAGAGCAGAATCCTCTTCACACATAGGCCAAAAATAGTAGCGCTGTGTTACCATATGGAATCGAATCTCTTTCGATGTCATGAGTTTTACTGATGGTCTTATTTCCACCTGTGAGATCTCTGCCAGCGTGCGTGGAATCGAATCTCTTTCGATGTCATGAGTTTTACTGATGGTCTTATTTCCACCTGTGAGATCTCTGCCAGCGTGCGTGATATTCTTCTATGATCTTGCAACTTCAGCATCGGTCCAATGTACCCCGTAAGCCAATAAAAGTCATTATAAGAATCCTCGCTGTCCCACAGGATCAAAAGTTTTCCCGTACATTGGCTAAATAAGGGTAATCTGAATTTTGACCCCTGTGCGCCACGCCTTAACCGACTCCAATCGGGGCCAAAATTTATATGTGATATATTCTATATTTGGGTATCATATGAAAAAATCGTTATTTAATTTTTTGAGTCTCCATAGAGGAATCTGAACTTTACCCCCTGTGCGACAAGGCTTAACCGTCTCCAATCGGGAGAAAAATTTATATGTGATATCTTCGACTGTAGTAGCATCGACGTGGGGGTTGAGGCTTAGGAAATCTGGTGTAAAAATTCGCTTCCTACATTTAAGGACCACCCTAAAATACCTATATTTATATTTGCGAAGAAAAAAGTCCTCATGAAAGTAATAAACGTTTCGAATTTGCATTAACAAAATCGGTCCATAAGCTGTACTCGACACTAAGCTGTACTCGACACTTCTACGTTTTCGTTTGCCTAAATTTGCACTTACGTTGGACATTACTAAAATGTACCGTCAAATTCTCATGAACGAAGACGACAGAAACTTTCAGCTCGTAGTGTGGAGACAGCATCCGTCTGAGCAACTTCAAATTTTTCGCCTCAACACCGTAACATACGGCACTGCGCCTGCTCCATTTCTCGCTACACGGTGTTTACAAATGCTCAGCGATGCTAATACGACTAAGTATCCACTCGATTCAAAGACTATTAAAAGAGATTTCTATGTAGATGACCTACTTACATCATCTGAAGATTTTGAATCTCTAGATCTTATTAGAAGTGAGGTAATGA